TACAACTTTAGAAATAGGGGTAAAAAACAATAGAAGACGCGTTTTCTTGCAGTTTCCAAAAATACGTAGCCCCTAAGTGGTAAGCTACCCCCAAATCCGCCTCAGCTGTTCACCTTCGATTTTGTTGAGTAGTTATTCTTGGTCGAAATCTATGAACGTATTTTTATATCGTTGGAAAGTCGTTATTAATCGGTAAAATCGACCCCCAAAAGCTTGGACCGAAAGAGGGTGGTCTTGAAGTTTCGCATTTAGTTGTGATAAATAATTTGTTTTTATTCTTAAACCACCACGAAGGCCAATGGGTACCGTGGGGCTCTAGGGGGTTACAGGGGAAAGGGGGACGCCACACAGACTTTAGAGAGGGAACACGTGTGCATGCAACATGCAAACATTCTGGCCCGGCCTTAGAGATCCGCCGGGTGGTACCTCCGCGTTCGACTGTCAGAGACCGTCTACCACCTAAGTGAATGGAAAAAATGGCCCTGTAGTACCTAATTGATACGAGTGTGCTAGAGCAAGGAAGCTACTGCGCTAAGGAATGGCTTATGCAGTTTGCAATTTTCTACAAGTGCAGCAACTTATTTCGTATGACATTGTGACGTAACTGCGAAAAACCGCTAAATAACTATATGTAAAGGTAAACTATATGGAACCAAATGAGGAACATATGTCATTAAAAATAATGAAAACGTATTTAGTCTCAAAAATGAATAAGCTATCAAAGGTTGAAAATCACAGTTTGTATAAACAAAAAATCTATTGGTATCTTCCAAGCCTCTCAGGTACCCGCCTCCGATTTTGATGAGCTTTTAATATGGTTAATCTTCGTCGAAATTTGAGAGATACATTTTTCATACTGGCAGAAGATTGTAATCAACGGGTCAAATCAACCCGCAAAGATAGGACCGAAAGAGGGTAATTCTGAAGTTTCACTTACTTGCACTGTGATAAACGGATGAAACCAAAATGGTGAATATTCAGCATCAAAAATGATGGAAAATGCATTTGGGGGTATATTTACTTATTCTAGGCATTAGATATATCATTTCATCATCGAAAATTTGTTGAAAACAAGTTTTTTTTACTCAATAATTTCAACATTTTTGCATTAGGGCATTTCGCTGTCAACTATGAAATTCACGTGATTTTCAGAATCATCTTGCTTTTGTTCTGCATAACCACCAACAATAAACATTTAAATAGATTAATGACTAGTGGAGATGTTAATTGATGTGGATGAGTCATTGAAGCTCAACAACATTGTTCCTTAAAAGTTAATTTTAAACGTAATGCACAGAAGTATTTTGTCAGAAAATTGCATCTCGAAATTTTTCTGTTTGTACCTTTTTATTACTATTTAGCACTTCGAGTGAGAGTGGTGATATTAAAAACGAAATAGCAGATTTCAGTAACAGATGTCAATCTTGAGAATGAGATTTTGACATAAGACGTATCTCTAGATATGTCTTGACAGCCCGACTAACAGTAATACCAAATTCAAAGAGCGAATATTAAACTTCGGCCTTGAAATTTCCATTTCGCTACAAACCAAACGGCATGATGGATGGACATTTGAGATGTCCTTAGATTCATCTCGCTGGCACAATTGAATTACCATTATCTTCAGTTACTACAGTCGGGCATTTTGTATTATTTGAAAGCTCTTTTCTTGCATGTTTCAATGAATTCGTTTTTCTTAGGTTTTTATGGATTTAAATTTCTTCCTTAAGAGAACTCAACCACTGAATGACGCTCTGAGTCCTAATTACTTGGAGTAGTCATGGCCGAATAAAAAATACAGCTGATTCTAAGATTAGACGCAGCACAATTATGTGATGGGTAACACAGCTGCCTTTAATGTCCATCATTCTTGCATTTCAAAAAACGAATATACAGAGTGTCCTCAAGGTTGGGACTTTGCACGGCTCATTAAAACATGAGCAGTTTTTTGTGATATATTCACCAAAGTGTTACCGAGGCGGACGTTAGACTCCACAAAATAATTCAATCCTAAGCAAAACCTAATCCGATCCTGCACCTGACCAGATCAAACGTGAACACGTATGATGCGCATCAGTACTCACACGGTTCTAAGAGTACAAAACAAAAAAAAAACACCCATACAGCAATATCGGGGTTGTTCATATTGCTTTAATTTACGGTGAGTATCTTCCAAATGCTATCGAGGCTTCGCAAGTATACTTTATCTGAAGTCACTTGAAATATCATAAAAACCTTGGTCGGCGCGTCCTTTGTAATATCATGACGTATCATAGGCGTGCGGTCATTTATTTAGAACGATAATAATAATGTTTTTATATCACAATAAATGGATTTTACTAACTTCTTATTTTTTTGATTTCGGATAAAAAATACTTATATTGGGAGTTTAATTTATGTTGACTGAAAGTTAAGAAATGGAAAAATCACAGAATTCCAACGTTTGACATAGGGAAATATTTACATAGCAGGTAGGTATATAAAAAGGTATATAAAGACTTACATTATAGGTATTTATATATCATCCTCGCCTTCGGAGCTATCGCTAGAGTCATCTTGTAGAGGAATTACAACGGGATTTACAGGAGGCAAAACACAATATTCATTTTCTTTTTCAATAATATGCCTAGAACACTGCTTCCATAGGTCTGTGGCAGCAATATGAGATACTGCATCTCTTATTGTGGCCAATAGCGATTCACTTAATTGAGGGGTCTGATTATGTTTTCTTACTTTTTTTTTAAAGCTGCCCAGACCAACTCAATCGGGTTAAAAATGCAGTAATAGGGAGGTAGACGTAATACTTCATGGCCATTTTGCTGAAGCAGATTGTCAACAACATACTCTTTTTCAAATTTTTGTCTTTTAATAAGATCCAATAATATGGCTTTGGTTGATTTTTGTGGTATTTCCATTCCCTTATCCTTCATAAAATCAATAATGTCTTGTTTTTTTGTGCCTGTATTTGGAATTTTGTTTTTCTGTCGGGAATGGTATGGCGCATTGTCCATAATAATCACTGAATTTGGGGAAATGTTTGGTATTAACTGCTGCTCTATCCACTTTTCAAATAAGTCGGAGGTTCTTTGATATTTTTGGCAGATAACAGCAAGGCATCAGGTATAAATCCATTTTCACTGCCAGCATGGAGAATAATGATTCGTTTTCCACGGTTGCATGGTGCATTTAAAATGCACTTGTTGCTGTCGTCAACCCAGCCGTACTGCACAACATCAAGGGTATCATACCACGTTTCATCCAGGTAAATCAGATTTCTTTTCTGCTCTCTATAGATTTTAACTTTGTGCAAAAATTCTTGGCGCAATTCAACGATTCGAGACGACTCCATAATCACCATTCTTTTATCTAATTTTTTGTATTGAAAACCACACAGTTTTACAATACAGTGCAGTGAGTCTAAGCATTTGTAATTATAAAAATCTTCAGGATAATCTTTTAATTTATCCCGTATCATTTCCAACGTGGGCACCAAATTTTCTTTATAAAATCCGTATATTATACGACGAATATCTTCCTGAAAACCCACGTCTATTCTTTTTAATTTTTGCCCTATGCGCTTTCTGTGGAAGGAATGGTTGACTACATCTCCCCTTTTATAACCCGATAAATGGTAGACCGACTGATTTTTGTCAGGATACAAATTCTGTTTAAAATTTGATTTTGCGAGGAATCTGGATTTTCGTTTTTCAGACCATCATACATATTTAGGATTACTCTTTGGGTCTGTTCCTCTAAATCTTTATGAAAGAATTCTGCCTGCACAGGTTCATCAACCATCTCCTCGTGGCTTGGAGCATTTTCCCAAGGTCTCCAAAGAGCCATATTTAGGACACACAAGAACAATCAACACAACAATTAAATCAACAAGTAAACTGAGTATTCAAAAGTCAAAAACACACAAACTAATAAAATCTATGAAAAAACACGGACAGACTAAAGAAAACACGTTTATTCACCGCTACACGGCACTGGCTAAACTGTTTCAATTTTCAGTAGCCACCTGCACTTGTTCGGAGCTCTGAAATACACGCTTTCTCATTAACTATGTCCACGCATAGGCGTGCTTTACTCCACGTGGACCGGTGAAACTGCCTTTGATGTTATACGGGGGATATTTGCTGCGAAGTTTGGCGATTTTTGCAGCAACAGAGCGTGTTAAATATAGATATATAAAACGCACCCGGTATTTCACAGTGTTTCAAGTGACTTCAGATAAAGTATACATGCAGATCGTATTTCAATATCCTGGAGTGAATACGGTTGACGAACTACGTGTGCGAATTTAGCAATCGGTTGCATTCATTCGAGAAAAGCAGTCCATTCTAAAAGCATACACTGATGCTTGGCTACGTCGGGCATACATCAATGTGTCTTGAATCTATCACAGACGACTTTGAACAATACTTGCAAGTGACGGAGCTGTACTTTTTGATGTTGTTTCATCAGACACTAGCTTTGTTATAACTAACCTAATGCAATGTGAAGCTAAAGGCGGCAGCTGACAGTGTATGCGCCATTGCGGGCACCAGTACATTTGCTGTCTTCTACGTAATAACCCAGCCGATCTTCCTTGAACTTAACAAAGCGAGCTTCAATGCAACGAGCTCCCCCACTCATGACATACGGGCATGCCTCCGCACAATGACCAGCCTCCAGCACATCAATTGCAACAAATTCAGCACAGAATGCTCGACACTATTTTCTCTATTTGGTAACCAACTACGATTCAAGATGCGTTCGAGTATTTTCAAGAGCTCCTTTCAAGAGGGCACACAGGCAGACGGCGTCCTTTCATATCAGTGCACTTCCCGAAGTCTGCGAGTTATCGATTCTAGGAGTTCAAAGGAACCAAAAGTCCCCGTCTCCAGTCTGCGAAGGTTTAATTAAATAAACGAGTTCCTTCACTCGCAAATTCTCATTACTGGTACCGTTTATCACTAAATTATTTCGAATCAATTAGAATCGAACATATTTGTTACCTGCAGCTTGCACGGGAAAATACCGGTGCATGCCTATAAAAAAGTAGATATATATATAAAAATTTGTGCGAGGTATTATACTAATGAAAAATTATCCGTAATTCAGAAGTCGGAAATGATGTTCGGTAATATTGTATAATACATGCGGATATCAGCATACAATTAATGAACAACCAATTTTTTTAATGCTTGTCTATGGTGGTAAATGCGGGGTGAATTTACAAAAATGATTCTCATACGGCCAAAGTATTGTTTTTACGTTATCTCGTGCAGTGTAGATTAAGCCCTTTTCATGCTCCTTTACATGGGATCCTGCGAGATATTTAATAATTTTAGTATTGACCGTTTTATTTTCCATGAGCAAAATAGGTAACTTTTGGAAAAAGATCGTATGAAACTTTAATAGTTCTAAAATGTCAGATAGGAAAAAAGTCTAAGAAGTACCTTAAAGACTGATTGCTGAAGCTGAAAATGTATCAAAATGTTAAAGAAAGGTCGTAAGATAATCCTCTAAAATACCTTTTGTGGCTGAAAAGTTGGACAAGTTTTCTAGATTGTCCCATTTTAATCTCCCAACCTAAATATTTCGAATGCTCATTCTAGAAAAAAAAAAGACCAACCAAAAATGTAGGGTTTCTAGGGGCAAAACGATAGTGACCTTAAAAACGACTTTCAAGGTCACTTCAAAGTCGAGTGGATATTCTTTTAAATAATTGTTTCACATCAGATTTGAAAAGAGGAACAACTTTTACGTCCTATCATTACCTTGGTCATGTCCTTGAAGGCCAGTTCAAGGTCAAATCAAGACATAGGAAACAGTTTGCTCTAGCAAATATGTTCGATAGCGCAATTGTGGTGTTTGTTGGGATCACCCTTAGGTGACTTTGACAATGAGCTTAATTATGACCTTCAAGCTCAAGTCAAAATGTCTAGATCTCTCATTTTCATAGTGGAAATGGAAAAAACAAAAAAAATTACATCCGAATGTGACCTTGAGCTCAGTCAAGGTCGTGCTATGCGCAAATGTCATTTGGTGCCAAGGTTACGTTCGGACGTGAAGTTTCCTAATTTTTGCATTTGCAGTACAACAACAAGCGGATTTCTTTGGAAGCTTTGACTTGACCTTGCAGCTGATGGTCAAGGTCATGGGCAAGGTTAGCGTCCCCACAAACCTCACAACTCTGCTGTCGAATATTTTAGCCAGAACAAATTGTTTTCCATGTCTTGCTTTGACTTTTAAACGACCTTGAAGGCAATTATCAAGGTCATGGAAAATATCACACTCAGACGTAAAAGTTGTTCCTCTTTTCAATTCCGATGTCAAAAAAGGGGAGCTTTCATTTGAAAATATTCACTTGATCTCAAAATGACCTTGGAGGTCGTTTTCAAGGCAATTTTCGCAAGTCGAATATGTTTATGACCCATACAAGTACGAGTGGTAGCATATTTCTTGTTATCTCAAATATATTTGCTAAAAGTGAGTCTAGTTGGGTAGAAAAGAATATTACAAGCTTCTTCGTACAGAAAAGTGTCAGATGATCGTAACAAAGGGTATTTGAAAGGTTCCGTTTTTTTTTTGGTAATATTAATTTTAGTATACACCTAGAATTCAAATTCAATGAGTCGTAACATAGGGGAGGTAAGATATCACCCAAGATTAACATCGTCAAATATCAATTAACTCTGCACAAATTCAACAGAGACTAAGCAATTTTAAATAATTTTCAACCTACTCAATAAACGTAACGTGATTTTGCATATTCTTTTGAATAAGGTTCAACAGACTCATTTCAAAATAATAATGGTGTATTTCCCAACCTCAAGTTTTCCATTTACAATATCATCTTTAGTTTTTGTAACTCTGATATCTTCTCATATTTAAGTGGCTTTTTTTTGCTACATTATTCGAACTGTAGAAGCTCTTTGTCAGGAAATCCTGGGTTGCGCATCTTCCAAGGAAGTAATCTCAATATGACTTCAAAAGTATCATACGCTATTAGTTTGACCACGAAAAGGTTGTTTTAAATTATGGGAAGAAGCATCTAGAAACATTTCCGTCTTTTTTCGGTACCGTGTTAGCAGTCAGCCAGTCTCATTTTACTAAGATTTTCAGGTACACATGCATGTGATTTTGTAATTTTGTGGCTAAATCCACCGATTAAAATATGTATTCACATTTAAAAATTAATTTATTAACGAAATGCCATTGGTGATGCTTCCAACTTTAACCCGCTTTAAGCAAATGCTCGCCACATCGCTTCCATCATGGTTATGACGTCACAGAAAAACCTAGTTAACAACGGTTACAGCTGAGCTTAGAACCGCACTTAGGAATACGTTTAAGAGCCGGTTAAAGGGAACAGCAGCAATAATTAATTACCGAGTAACTACTCCAAGGCGTCATCTGAAAGACTTGAAAAAAATCTCAAGGAAAAGGGAAAGAGAAGAGGTGGATAATTTGCAACCAGTTAAGGAAACAGGTGGCTTAAACAGCCTATTTACAACCATCTTAAAATCAAGGAGACTGAAAAAAGTTGAAAACCCAGACAGATATTACAAAGAATGGAGGAGATTCAAATAGAAAATACTAAACAATTTGCAAGAATAAAAACATTTGGTACAAAGTACTACGCAAAAAGGGAGATTTTTATAGATCATTCTTAAAACTCTCAACGTAAATGTCGGAAATAGTGAAAATAATGAACTCGTAACTCCTTAAACATCATATTTTATCTGAATTTGCGTGTTAGTTTGTACACAGTACATGGAAACACTTGTGCATAGGAATAAATGAAATTACTATATCTTATGTTCTTTTATTCTAATAGTCCCAAATACAATAAAAAAAATTGGTTCCTATCAGCAATACCACATAAAGACTAAGGGTGCAGTGAAATCGGTATTTAATTAGTAGCCAAGCTCATAGATTGGAATTAGAGCAGCTACATGAAAAAACAACTAATATAAAAGATGAGGCTTTTCGCGTATAGTCACACTATACTATGCATAACAACTGAATGGCTTATTTTTCTGTTTACATTACAAACTTAGTCCTTTAAAGTGGAGCTCAGGAGTATGCGGGGTCGTTAATAGCCCCTATGATACCAGGAAATCTAGCTACTCTCTGAAATCCACTGCTGATATCGACAGAGACCTCACGCTCAACAGTGAACGGAGGTACCTTTCGCTTCCGTGTTATCAAACACAAACTAGGAGGACAGCATTATTTAACTGCCCTATCCTACTATCAAACTCCGTAAGTTCGCTTTTCACTTCTCGCTACAGTCAAAAAGTCATCATTACTATAAATAGTGATTTTACACCGCATTCCCCTCTTCCATTCTCTGGTTATTGGTTATAACGTCAACCATACTTAACGAGGTTAAGTGAAATAAAGGACGCCCTATGATTTCCAAGTGTACTGGTAACTTGTAATTTACTACTCAGGTATTTTTTCTGGAATAGGGCTCTGGTAGTGAAACATCGTGCGTCCATCATGCGATCCACTAAAGGCATGTTTTCTGATGGTTTATAACATTAAAGCTAAATGGTTCTCAAAAAGACAACCGGCGACGTAGTCGATACGGGCAAAATGCAGTAATGTCCATATACAGCGCACTATTATTAGAGCCGCCATTTTAGGGAAACTTCCCGCTCTAACGGCCGCGTTTCGATGTCAGGCCACCGTCATTTCGATGGAACGTTGCTACATCGGACATGACTATAAACACGTGTTATTACTTTTACACGGAAACGTTGCTTGCATGGCATGGCGTGCACTCAACATTCTTGAAACCGTAAACATATACATCTGGGAAAGATAAGACGCGCATGATAGAATTTTTTATGAGCATCAAGAGACCGTACTCGTAATGCTATGTTGACGTCGCCCGCTGCTCAATTCCATGTTATTTCCACGTGTGCTTGTAATTATTTCTGCGTCTTTGCCGCATATAACCATCAAAAAGGCAGAAACATGCCGGATCGAGGGCACTAGTGAGTTTACTCCAAAAGTTAACGTCGTTTCATTTTGTTTAAAGGATATGTTATATTCAAAGTGATGAAGAATACGATGCATGAAACTCATTATTGTGTGTAGTATCTGTAGTTTGGACTCTTTAATTCTTTCAGTATTTTTATAAGCCTGTTTTTACTAGAATTGAAAATATTGATAACCAAGATACGCAGTTCATAGTAGATATAAATACACTACGAGCCCTTTCCCACTTCAGTTGGCTCACTTCAAGATTTGTTCCAAAATATGCTTTTATAAACTAAACATGACGAAACTATCTACTTCTAAAACAATTTATTTTCTCAAAAACATTTTAGATACAGTCTAGTCGTAAAAAATACATATTTGAAATCACTTAGACCTATCACTAATAGAACATCTGAACAAATAAACAATGTGCGAATAAATGCGCGAAGATAAAAAAGCAACAATTGAAAGATTACCATTGGGTAACATCACCTTTATTTTTTATTACGGCTGATATTCTTTGGGGCATAGTGTTAACCAAGTTTTGGCAAAAATTTGGTGTAAAACAATCCCATATTTCTTGAAGCTTTTGTCTCAATTCGGTGATTGTACGAGCAGGATGTTGTCGTAGAACCTTTTTCATCTCGTGCCACAAAGTTTCAATAGGTGATAGATCTGGACTGCTAGAAACCCATTTCAAAAGTGGTAAATTATTTTCTTCCATCCGTTTTATAACTTTTTGTGAGTTATGGCACGCTACTACACCATCTTGCTGAAACACAAAATCTCGGCCAGATGTCAAACATTCTTCCATCACTGGTAAAAGCTTCTAAAATTGCCAAATATTTGTTTGTACCCACATTTCCATCAATAAAATGAAGTTTTCCTACTGCTTTTGATGGCATACTGCGCCAGACCATAATGGATGCTGGAAATTTCACTTTTCTCTTCAGAGAGTCAACATGGAATGCTTAATTTTTTTTGCGAATAACTCTACTGCGACTGTCACCAACACAAACTTCGAATCGGGCCTCATCACTCCATTGTATTA